CTTTTAACTTCATGCCCCTGATGCAGGCCTAAAGTCCTCTGGCAAGGTCATCCAAGGATTTTAACTGCTATAAACTCTAGGGATAGAAACTGAAGCCAGAATGATATACAAGGGGAAAGTACCAGGTTTCAAGGAGAAGTAAAAAGTTTTACAGTAAAAATTGTGCTTAAGGATCACTGAAATGCCACCCCCCCAAATATATATTGTAAGCATTTTCTCATATTAAGAATTCCTTTTTTAAAAAGATTTTATTTATTCATTTTCAGAGAGAGTGAGAGAGTGAGGGGAGGGACAGAAGGGGAGGGAAAGGGACAGGCAGACTCTGTTCTGAGCTCAGAGCCTGATGCAGTGTTTTATCTCACGATCCTGAGATCATGACCTGAGTTCAGGGAAAGGCTAGAGACTTTGATTGGAATAATTGGAATAATTATTATGAGAAAAGGCTAGGACCACTTTGATTGGAATAATTATTATGAGAACAGTTTTATTAGAAGCAGTTGTGGGAGTAGAGTGAAATTAAGGTGAGTAGGCTTTACTTTCTAGCTTTTCCAGAAACAAGGCAAAAGGTATCCCTAGGAGTCACAGTGGTAGGAACCATATACCTGAGTCCCTAAAACTCATTTTTAAAGATTAAGGATGTTAGATTATGGCAGGATAGGACAAATCCAGTCTATGGCATGTTTTATTGGATCACGGCCATGTCCATGTAATTTTGTATTCTATGGCTATTCTCACCACAAAATGGTGAAGTTTAATTCATAGGACCACAAAGCCTAAAATATTTACTATCTGGCCCTTTACAGAAAAAAGTTTGCTAACTCCTGCCAGACATTGAAAGTCTCCTTAGTGACTTAGAAGTGGAGATAAGGACTTCTATTCCCCTTCCCGGTGGGCAGAGGGGATAAGCAGGAAGGAGGCCTCATGCCTTTGTCACATCTATGTCAGGGAGCATCTGAATAGGTCTTTCCTTTAGAAATGCTTGTAACCAGATATTAGTAAACTTCACCCAGCTTAATCCTTTAGAAGATCTACCACATATTTGTAAGACTACATATTACAAATAAAACAAAAATCAAAGGAAAGAACTTCAACTTCAGTCCAAAAAAACTACCACAACAAACATCCTTACTCAGAGCAGTACCTGCACAGAAAGCCCCCAAAACACCTAGCCATCAGTACTACAAATGGCTTCATTGGATTTCTGGCTGGGCTCAGCCAGACCCTACAGCATAGTTACTCACGGGAAGATAATTCCACAGGATTCTTGGTAATGCTAGCTCAGGATGGGATAAACCAGTATTTTTCCTAGTGAAAAATGAGTACTGAGTTAAAAAAAATAAAATCAAAATATTTATAACTGTTCATCATAGTGCTCCCTTTTTCTCAGTGCGTGTCTATCTCCTTCCCTGGAGGTAAGGGCTTGTGTTCGAGTACTTCTTGCACACTACAAGTGCTTAGTGAATGTTTGCTGACAAAAGTAAAAATATAAGAAAAAAGGACAGGAGGCGGCAAGTGGAGAGGGAGTGAAAGAGGCAGAGAGAGGAGGCAGGCAGGGAGATAGCTAGGGAGAAGTAATGAATTTACACTGAATGAGCAGTACCTTAAATTGTAAATACTATGTGACCTCACACAAAAAAAAAATCATAGAAAAGAGGGACAAGATGAAATGTACCAAAATATTTCAACAATGTTTGCCTCTATGTGATGGAATTTATTTCCTTATGTTTCTGTTGTCAGAAACTTCCTTATACCCACCTACTAAAAAAGTTCCACCAAGTAGAGAAAAAAACATGATTTGTAACATTCCACAGAAGCACAGGTGATTTAAATAATGCTTTTAAGAAAATGAGTTTTTATTTTGCATATACTACTTTTACCCTAAATTATAAGACTACTATATTTTCTTTTTTTTTTAAGATTTTATTTATTTGAGAGAGAGAACGAATGCACATGAGCAGGGGAGGGGCAGAGGGAGAAGCAGAGTCCCCACAGAGTAGAAAGCCCAATGTGGGGCTCAATCCCAGGACGCTGGGACCATGACCTAAGCAGAAGGTAGATGCTTTAACTGACTAAACCACCCAGGTGTTCCTGAATGCTATATTTTCTGAATAACTTGGTTCTCATTATAAAAGTAGTAGACTGTCTATACTGAAGATAATATGTAAGTTATAGAGGAAAATGAAAATAATCCATTAGAAAAAAATCATTTCAGATTTTGATGCATTACCAAATGCACACAGATGCACACATATGCATGTAAGCATTTAGCAAAAAAGGGTTCCACTGTGGAAAAGTAACATGGGGATGGAAACGTGGAGAAGAAGGAGAAAAGTAGACAGGAGAGGGAAGAGAATAGAAGAAAAATAAGGAAGAGATGGAGGGTATAGAAGTAGCGCTGCATCAGCAAGTGGGCCATCCTTGTCACTGATATATTGTCAAGACCCTAGTCCCATCTACTTAACATGGATGGCACATTCTCAAAATATAATTTATGCAGTAAATCAGCAGCCCTGGGAAAACTACTTTTCTATCTCTTGTTATACATCTCCATAATCCCTATCTGTGGAACTACCAAGCTTCAGTAACCGCTTCCAATTATTACTATTGGGCCCAGATCTACCCTTACAAATTAATAAACTCCTCACTTTGCTTTGTTATTCCTTCTCTCTCCCAGCACCACAAGTATCCAAAAGAGTCAATTCAGGCTGCTATTCAGGGGTAGTATTATTGCCAAAGGAAACAGAAAGAGGCCAGCTGACATATGTGCAGACTAGTAGACATTCTAAAAAAAACAGGGGCCATGACACAGTGTGTTTGAAGGTACCAGGAATGCTGCTTATTTTCAATATCTACCTCTGTCCCACTGACTTACCAGAGTTCTTGCAATATTGTCAATTACCAAAACAAAACAAAACAAAAACCCCTAACTTTTAGGTCAGGCTTTTACATTTCCAGGATTCTCCATATTAAAATGCAAATAGCTATGGAAAGGTAATAAACTAGGTCTCTGACACCTAAGACTGTTTTCCATCAAAACACCAAACAGACAACAGATCCCTACAAGAATAGGACAGATAAGAACAATGCTGAGTGAAATAAGTCAAGCAGAGAGAGCCAATTCTCATAAGGTTTCACTTATTTGTGGAGCATAACAAATAACATGGAGGACATGGGGAGATGGAGAGGAGAAGGGAGTTGAGGGAAATTGGAAGGAAAGGTGAACCATGAGAGACTATGGACACTGAAAAACAACCTGAGGGTTTTGAAGGGGCGGGGGGGTGTGAGGTTGGGGGAACCACGTATTGCATGGAGCACTGGGTGTGGTGCAAAAACAACGAATACTGTTACGCTGAAAAGAAATTTAAAAAAAAAAAAAAAGAAAACAGTTGATGAGAAAAAAAAAAAAAAGAACTAGTGAAAAAGGGGTGACAAAAAGTATGATTTACCAAGCATTGCCTAAGAGGAAACTGCTGGGTCAATTATTGCTCTGGGGGAACACTGGGATACAAAAGGAGCATGAAAGCCCTATACCCTAGGAAAAATGGAAAAGGAAATGTTGATAGAAGAGAACTGAAAAAGGGGAGCTCAAAAACAAAATAACCACTTCATAATCTGGTTTTAGACTGGCTGGAATGTTCAACTCCCAAGGGGCATAATCCCAGAGCAGCATCACAGTATGAAGCAATTCTGAATACCAACTATATCCTTGGTTACCAGAAAGTCTGGGAAAAGCAGGAAGACAATCTCTTGGACCAGTGATTGCCAATGGAATATATCACATACAATACAGGAGATTTCTAAACCTTTCTGTCCCTCCACGCACATTCCTAACTCCACCCCAAGCCAGGTGAAAAACTGAGAGGGAGAAGAGGTATGTAGAGAGAAGTATACACGTATACTTTGCAGAAGTTCCTCAAAAGATCCAAATGGTTATGACATGTATTCCTATTCTACAGTGACAAGCTTCATCCTCCACGAGTCTAATTAGACCCCAGTTCCACCAATGTCATAAGCAGATCCAGCACACTATCAGCTCAAAGGAGTTCTTAAAATTGTTACATTTGAACTGATAGATGATTTTGATTGCCACCTAGTGGAAGAGAGAAAATTAATCACAAGCTAAACTGAGGAAAAGCAAATTAAAAGTATCAAATGTTGTTTTCTATTCTCTGATGGCCAAACACAGTTTCCCAAAGTGTGGTTACATGTAAGATGATTTTTAGGTAGCACAAAGACCAATGCTATTTTAACTACTTGATATTTATCATAATGCATATTAGAATAATGATGAAACTCATCATTTCATAAACCTATGAAGATGAGGCTAAAAGCCTAATTTTAAGAAGTAAGTAGATTTTAAAATATATCTACATAATAATATTACACAAGTAATATTATAATGGGATATCACCAAAGTTATATGGTAACTCCAAAATGATCAGTGTTAGAAATAGTTGTCTAAGCTGGTTCTTCTCTTTTTTTCTTTTCTTTTTTTAAGATTATTTATTTATTTGACAGAGAGAGAGAGAGAAATCACAAGTAGGCAGAGAGGCAGGCAGAGCGAGAGAGGAGGAAGGAAGCAGGCTCCCTGCCAGGCAGAGTCCAACTAGGGACTCGATCCCAGGACCCTGAGATCATGACCTGAGCTGAAGGCAGAGGCTCAACCACTGAGCCACCCAGGCACCCCTAGTTCCTGTTTTCTTAAGCAGAAATTATTTCACAAGCAAATTAGCATTCAATACTGCAAAGTGCCTATAAATATTTGCCTTCTTTTTTCTTTTTTTTTTTTTTAAGATTTTATTTATTTATTTGTCAGAGAGAGAGAGATAAGATCACAAGCAGGCAGAGAGGCAGGGGGAAGCAGGCTCCCCAATGAGCAGAGAGCCCAATGCGGGGCTCAATCCCAGGACCCTGAGATCATGACCTGAGCCAAAGGCAGAGGCTTAACCCACTGAGCCACCCAGGCACCCCAATATTTGCCTTCCTTAAAACATGCTTACCCAGGTAGTGATCTCATGATTGTCAATAGTTGATCCCTTCTCATTTTGACGAGTTCCATTATAGAAAATATATTTCCATTTAATCTACCTGGTTAAACAGATTCTCAGGGAACTGTCCAAACTCCTGCCAATTGGAATGCACTTTAATGACCTATATTCTATTGTCACAGTGGTCAATTATTTATCATAGAATTTAGATGTTTCAAGAAAATCCTGAGTATTCAATCAGCATTCATAAATTTTTGTACTCACTTGATGTTGGAATACACAAGTGAAAATTTTAAGATTCATTTCATTATCTTCTGTGGTGGCCACTATGTAAATGACAACGATACATTTCTTTATGACAAATTTCACATTGCCATCTCTAGCTTCAATCCTCCTTTATCTCTTGGATTGGAACCTACTGCCTCTGTTAACAAGATTAAGATTCTGTGGCCAAGAACTCTTAAGGTAGTTGAATCGTTGGGTATTTACCCAACAGCATCTGTACTCAAGCACTGTTTCTCTCTGAGGAGGCAACCACTCTTAAAATTTACTACTTGTTCTTCCAGAATCATTTATACATATTGTAGCATACCCAGTTTTAGAGTTTATTTTTACCCAAATGATGGTACACTACACTGTTGTGTACTTTTTCTGATTTAACAAAACAAGCTGAAGACTTGTTTCTTTTTGATATGTAATAAAGCCACTTCCTTCGTTTTAATGGGTGAAAAATATTCCATTATATCAATGTGCCAAAATTTATTTATGTAGTCCTCTAAGAAAAGACATTCTGGTTGTTTTAAATCTTTTACTATTTAAAAAAAATACTGCATTAAATAATCTTGTACATATATTATTTGATATTGTGAGTTAATGCTTAGAAGTGAAACTGCTGGGCCATATAAACTTTGGAATTGGCTGCTGGCATTTTGGGGGGTTGAGGGAGACATTAAATTTATGGACTAAAATTTAAAGAGCATTAAGACTATATTTTAGAGTCCTTCCACTGACCGCAAAATATGCCTTTTCCTTATATGTCATATTTTACCAATTCTTAAACATTTAAAAAATATGGACATATCTCATAATCCAGAACATCTTTTAATCACTATCAGCCAGGTGGTTGTCATAAAGGTAATTATTCCTGGTGGTACGACAGTTAATTGTAAATGAGCGGTACACTGTAAATTATAGGTAAATTATAAATGACTGGTCATTTCAGTCATCAAACCATTTAAGGACCATTTGAGAAGAAATATAAGCCATATTATTGTCAGAAAACCTGTGACACCTTCTGGTAAGATCAGGAAAGTGCAAGCATCCAAACTAAAGAAAGTGCCATTGATTTGAAAGAAAATTCTCTTAACAAGTACTACATTATTACATTCTTAATGATATAAAGGACAACAGGGTGTTGGAGGGGAAACAAAAAACAATTTTGATGACACCAAGTTAGAAAACTGATTGCAAAGGATCATATTCTAAATGTGAAGTATCAGTAAGTAATATCTTAACTGAAATATTTTGTTTTTATTTTTATAATTGCATAAGAGATAGACGATAAAATACCAAATAAGCTCAAGGGTTCTTTCAATAAGTTAAAAAAAAATCTCTAAGTCCTAAGAGATTACTTCATAGGAGTACTGGTAGCAGTTCATCTTTGTGTTAAATTACAAAAAGAAAGAACAGTTCAACTCACAGTCAGCATCTCATATATGGAAAAACACTCTAAATCTTATTTTGAAGTTTCTCTCATGTAGATTTGCACACTGTTAGGCTACTCTTACTTTTTCTTTTCTCCCATTACACCTTATTACTGGAATACTACTTATTTTTGTTTATTTTATGAACAGCCACTTTACTGAATTCTCTATTTATAATTTCTTAATGGATTCTTTCAGGTTTTCTAGGTATGCAATGAAATAAATTTTAAACTCAAATTATCTTAAACTATTTGCTGGAATTTAAGCTCTGTGAAAGTTAGGATTATGTATTAATTTTACTGTTTTATCCCCCGTACCTAGTATATTACCTTGCAGAAAGCAGATAATCAATATATATTTGTTAAATGAATTACATAAATGCATCTTACTTTGTAAAATTTAAGCCAACCCCTTCTACAACACAAATGGTGAGCTTAAATATAAAAGATTAAAGTGTATTCGTATTTTTTCCCTTCCACATACAAACATATAGATGCTGTTAAGTAACTGGATATTTTATATTCAAAGCTATATGTATTTGGCTACATAGTTCTAGTCTAATAATTAAAAACTCTGGCTATGAAATAAATGTTTTATTTTAATCACTTACCTTTTGGATCTTAGATCTGATGAATCAAACTGGATATTCATAGGTCCAGGATTTATTATTTCATGATTGACCTCCGGTATGAGAAGATGCCTAGAATCACTATCCATATCTGCCACTTTTCTTAGCCTCTAAACACTGATGAAGTAAGTCCTATATAAATAAGAAAGAATAAAAACTATAAAACTTAATTAAAATTATTTTACTACTAACAAGTAATACATTTGCAAGCATAAGATATTGGAAAAATATAGGAGTTTGCTAATGATATCTTAATGAGGTATATGCCTGGAAATCTTTTATCAGAAATTAGCTAAGCTGAATTGGAGTTACTGTTTATTTTTCAGCTTACTAAAAAATAAGTGGGGCAATTGCCCCAATATGTTTCTGGTAGCAAAACAGATTAGGCTATTTGGACCCATTTTCCTGTAGAAAACAACTATAAAAATATTGGGTAAAATACAGAAAACATCTTTTGAAAAGCATCAAAAATAATGATGGTAATCAGGCAATTAGTAGGTACAGTTAAGGAACCTAGTGAGGTACACAGCTCGAGAAACTGCTTCTGCCCACAGAGTATTTGTTGTACCAGGAGAAAATGGGACCGAGGTTTTCAAGGCCTTGTGAAGTACTAGGAAAATAGGAGATAAAACCTGGGACTCACCCAAAGTAAGGAATGATGTAATAAGAAATCATGCCCTTTCCCTTCTCCCAGTAACACAGTGGGGAGTACAAAGATCTTTACCATTGCACTGGGAATTAACAAGCAGTAGAAGTGCCTCACTCCCTCACAAGGGAACTACAAACAAGATTTCTTGACTATGCCCACAGGCAGCGTGTGTGTGCACACACGTGCTCGCAGGCATGCATCTGTGGAGGAGGAAGTATTCCATACAACAAACTGTGCTTCATGTGGATTTGCAGGAGGTCAAAGAATACTTAAAGCCAGGAATATAACTTAAGGTTAAATTGCTTGGTAGGACTTCTAGGTAACTGCTAGAAACAAATATAAATCTTTTCTGTGAGGACACACCTTGATCCCATGCCTCAAAGAAGACCTGCTAACAATCTTCCAAGGACACTGAATAGTACACAGTAAAAAATAATCTAGCATGCAAAGAAATAAAATGCTTTTAGTGAGAACCAGATAGATTCATAAGGCCTTCAACTATAGGAATTATCAAAATAATACTAGAAAACAATTATGCTTCCCATCTTTAAATAAAAAACAAAGTGGATATATACACAATGGAATACTATTCAGCCAAAAAAATATGAAATCTTGCCATCTGCAGCAACATAGTTGGATCTAGAGAGGGTAATACTAAGCAAAATAAGCCAGTCAGAGAAAGACCAATCTATATGGTACATTCACAGGTACAATTTGGGAACAAAACAGCAAACAAAAGAGACAGACCAAACAACAACTTCTTAACTACAGAAAACAAACAGATGGTTAGTAGAGGGGAGGTTTGTGGAGTGGATGGGTGAAATAGGTGATGGGGATTAAGGAGTGTGTTTATCTTAATGGGCACTGAGTAGTATATGGAACTGCTGAATCACTGTATCGTACATTGAAACTAATAAAACACTGAATGTTAACTATACTGAAATTAAAACAAAAAAGTAAAACAAACAACAAAAGAAAATTTTAAGCACAATGTACTTAAAGAAGCTAAATTCACAGAAGCTAAATTCAAGAGGGTTTCGGGGCTCAGTTGGTTAAGTGTCTGCCTTTGGCTCAGGTCGTGATCTGGGGGTCCTCTGGGATTGAACCCTACATCAGGCTCCCTGCTCAGCGGGAAGCCTGCTTCTCCCTCTCCTTCTGCTTTTGCTCCCCACTTGTGCACATTCTCTCTCTCTCTCAAATAAATAAATAAATAAAATCTTAAACAAAAAAGAGGGTTTTTTCCTTCTATTATCAACTTGTTATAAAGAATTTTTGATTTGGGGAGGCTGGGTGGCTCAGTCAGTTAAGCATCTGCCTTCAGCTCAGGCCATGATTCTGGGATCCTGGGATTGAGCCCTACATCAGGCTCCCTGCTCAGCAAGGAGTCTGTTTGTCCCTCTCCCTCTGCCCCTCCCCACTGCTCATGCTCTCTTTCTCTCTCCCCTTCTCAAATAAATAAATCTTAAAAAAAAAAAAAAAAGAAGTTTTGACTTAATGGTGTGCTGGGTAGTTCAGTTGATTAAGTGACCAACTCTTGATTTGGACCCAGGTCATGACCTCAGGATCCTGGGATTGAGCCCTGCATCAGGGCTCTCAGCAAGGAGTCTACTTGAGGGTTCTCTCTCCCTCTGCCCCTCCCACAGCTCACATGTTCTCTTACTCTCTCTCAAAAATAAATAAATAAATCTTTAAAAAGATTTTAAAAGATTACATTAATATCTCACTTTGCATGGGACGCCTGGGTGGCTCAGTTGGTTAAGCAGCTGCCTTCGGCTCCATGATCCCAGCATCCTGGGATCGAGTCCCACATCGGGCTCCTTGCTTGGCGGGGAGCCTGCTTCTCCCTCTGCCTCTGTCTGCCTGTGCTCTCTCTCTCTCTCTCTGACAAATAAATAAATAAATAAATAAAAATATCTCACTTTGCATATAAAAAGCTCATTCCACCAGCTTAGTTTACAACCTCAAATCTAATTCCCAGTACACATTGCAATAAATGTATTCTGTAAAACCAAGGATTACCAAAAAGTAACTCAGCATGTTTGACAAGAACCAGAATGAATTTTAACCCCCTCCAATAATAAAACAACCAAAATTTAAAACGTGATGGATGGGTTTTAAAGTTCAAAACTGATGAACTAGAATGTATAGTTATATTTTAAAATATATAGAATATATAAAATACATAATAAATATATATTTAGTAATATTATAAAATATATAGATACATTCTATATATAGATATATGAATATATAGAACAATACTAGAAACTATCTAGAACAGCAGAGAAAGAGAAAAAAAGTAAATGTGGAAGACAAGTTAAGAGACATGGGAGATAGAAAAAGAAGGTCTAACGTGCATGTAATTGGAGAACCACAGAGAGGAGATAGCAGAGGTAACATCTGGAGAGAGTGGCTGAGAATTTTCCACAATTCATAAAAGATAACAATCCACAAATTCAAGAAGTTTAATTATTTCCAACCAGAATTAATAATATTATCATAGAGTAGAAAAAAGGAATTAAAATTCCAGACCAAAGGGAAAAAAAGTCAAGTGAAGTTCTTGGAATTAGTGTTCTGAGGTCCTTATACTGTACAGATCAACATTATATTTGAAACAATGCATGTTATAATTTTAAAGGTAACTATTAACATAACAGAAAATAGTATGTAACTTAAAATCACTATAGTAGAGCA